GTTGAACCCAACCTCCGTGGAGGGTTCCAAGACTTTCATCAACGAGTTGCGCAGCTCTGCTACAGGCAGCCAATTCCGGTTGGAATGTGTCTGCACACCACCCGCAGTAGCCAGGACTCGAAGCTCCTCTTTTCGCATTTCGTCCAAAGCACGACTCAGCCACTCCTTGCCCTGTGAAACAGCTCCAAGGCGAAGTTCTTCCAATTTGGCAGCCGATGCCTCGTCCACCTACGGCATCCGACACACTGCCACCACAAAACCACCATCATCCTACAACATCGCACCATGTGACAAACATGCAACTTTCGTCACAATCCTATTCTGCCCCACCGGACCTGCATGCGTGGTGCCAAGACATCCAGTAATCGAGCGCGCAGCTCTCCAACCGCAAGCCACTTGTTGTCCGGTCCACGGCCAACATTCCGAGCATCTGCCATTTTGCGAAGATCCATTACAGAAATTTTTGCCAGGGCATCCTGGAGCCATTCACGACCCCTGGTCACAGCACTGCTACGCAAAGTTTGACATGGCAAAGAACCACTGTCGCAGAGACCTGCAAACTGAAGGCTGAACGCATCAACAAAAAACTAGTTTAACAAAGCTCGGTAACAAAAAACTCAGCAGCTCGGCAACACCATCTTGCATCATCTCGCAATGCCTCTGCAACCGAATTTCCACGGCATCGGACGACGCGGATGACGCGGTCGCGTGCTCCATTCGCACGGACATTCCCTTCAGCAAACGAAAGAGCGACCACAAAACGTCCACAAACGTCACGGGTGCGTGACTTCAACCAAACATTTTGCATTCAGAAATTCCGAGACATGCATATTTGTTCGCTTGCTTTCAAAACAATGCCATGACATGCTTGATTTCAAAACAAAATTGAACGGTACAAAATTGAACGGTACAATGATTCCCGTAGTATTTTTTTGTCCACTGCTCATGCATTTCAATGAAAACATCACATATATTTTTTCGTGCTATACATCACATAGATCCACTGCATCGTAAACAAACACTGACATTGTCACAATGCAATTCTCGAGATCTCACAGACAGCCCCTACAGAAACCTCGAGAAGTGCAAGAAATGTTCAAGACACCTGTTTGCCAATCGTCACTTGTTTCACGAACATTCAGCGTACATATAAGAATATGGATGTTCACTCTGTGCACAATGCATCTTGTCTCTACGTTCACATCTGAGCCCAGGAAAGAGGTAAAGAGGTAAACTATGCTTGTCGCTGCAGAGTTGCACAATCCACTGCAAAGCATTTGTTCTCTGACTTCCAAACTGAGAGCACCACTCATGAGTTTGACATGGCAAAGAACCACTGTCGCAGAGACCTGCAAACTGAAGGCTGAACGCATCAACAAAAAACTAGTTTAACAAAGCTCGGTAACAAAAAACTCAGCAGCTCGGCAACACCATCTTGCATCATCTCGCAATGCCTCTGCAACCGAATTTCCACGGCATCCGACGACGCGGATGACGCGGTCGCATGCTCCATTCGCACGGACATTCCCGTCAGCAAATGAAACAGCGACCACAAAACGTCCACAAACGTCACGGGTGCGTGACTTCAACCAAACATTTTGCATTCAGAAATTCCGAGACATACATATCTGTTCGCTTGGTTTCAAAACAATGCCATGACATGCTTGATTTCAAAACAAAATTGAACGGTACAAAATTGAACGGTACAATGATTCCCGTAGTATTTTTTCGTCCACTGCTCATGCATTTCAATGAAAACATCACATATATTTTTTTCGTGCTATACATCACATAGATCCACTGCATCGTAAACAAACACTGACATTGTCACAATGCAATTCTCGAGATCTCACGGACAGCCCCAACAGAAACCTCGAGAAGCGCAAGAAATGTTAAAGATACCTGTTTGCCAATCGTCACTTGTTTCACGAACATTCAGCGTACATATAAGAATATGGATGTTCACTCTGTGCACAATGCATCTTGTCTCTACGTTCACGTCTGAGCCCAGGAAAGAGGTAACGAGGTAAACTATGCTTGTCGCCGCAGAGTTGCACAATCCACTGCAAAGCATTTGTTCTCTGACTTCCAAACTGAGAACACCACTCATGAGTTTGATATGGCAAAGAACCACTGTCGCAGAGACCTGCAAACTGAAGGCTGAACGCATCAACAAAAAACTAGTTTAACAAAGCTCGGTAACAAAAAACTCAGCAGCTCGGCAACACCATCTTGCATCATCTCGCAATGCCTTGTTTCATCTTGCATCATCCTGGACTTCCAAACTGAGAACACAATTCGTGAGTTTGACACTTGGGATGGGCATCATTGTCGAACACCCTTGGGATGGGCATCATTGTCGAACACCATGATGCTGTAAATTACATGCATCACACCGTTCTCGAAGGAAACATCCACAAAGGTACAACGAACCCAACAGCTTGGTAACTTCTACAACTTCATGCGCTAACCTGCTACACACTCGCACAATTCAATGCAAAGAATTCGTTCTTCGAAGCCTGAGACCACGACTCCTGCGTTTGACAAGCAAACATCATTGTCGCATAGACATGCAAACTGAACAGTGAAGCTCACTATGAACATATCAATTCCCACACAAATTACCACACCAAACGAACCGAGCTCCGCACGTCCTAGCACGGATGCACTAGCAAGCATTTTCACCCTCAATCTCTAACAGTTCCATGTCGTGCGGTAAAAGTACACACAAAAACTTTTACACACAAACGCTTTCACACACAAACGCTTTTACACACAGACGCGTTTTCTACACACAGACGCTTTTACACGCAGAAGCTTTTTACACACGCACACACACTTTCACACACAAACGCTTTTACACACAGACACTTTTACACACAGACGCTTTTACACACAGACGCTTTTACACACAAAAGCTCTTACACACAAAGGCTTTTACACACAGACGGTTTTACACACAGACGCTTCTACACGCAGATGCGTTTTACACACGCACACACGCTTTCACACACAAACGCTTTTACACACAGACGCGTTTACACACAGACGCTTTTACACACAGACGCTTTTGCACGCAGATGCTTTGTACACACGCAGACACGCTTTCACACACAAACGCTTTTACACACAGACGCCTTTAAACACAGACACTTTTACACAAACGAAAGCGTCCATCGCAATTTTTCCTCAGTTTTTGACGCCCAACGTCCATTTCGTGCGAAAGGGTTGCGCGGGACGCTTCAAAGTCGCAATTTTTCCTCAGTTTTTGACGTCCAACGTCCATTTCGTGCGAAAGGGTTGCGCGGGACGCTTCAAAGTCGCAATTTTTCCTCAGTTTTGACGTCCAACGTCCATTTCGTGCGAAAGGGTTGCGCGGGACACCTCAAAGTCGCAATTTTTCCGCAGTTTTTGACGTCCAACGTCCATTTCGTGCGAAAGGGTTACGATTGACCAAGTAAAATCGCATTTTTTCCTCAGTTTTGGACGTCCAACGTCCATTTCGTGCGTAAGGGTTGCGATTGACAACTCAAAGTCGCAATTTTCCCTCAGTTTTTGACGTCCAACGTCCATTTCGTGCGTACGGGTTGCGATTGACAACTCAAAGTCGCAATTTTCCCTCAGTTTTTGACGTCCAACGTCCATTTCGTGTGAAAGGGTTGCGCGGGACGCTTCAAAGTCGCAATTTTTCCTCAGTTTTTGACGTCCAACGTCCATTTCGTGCGAAAGGGTTGCGCGCGACGGATGACAATCGCAATTTTTCCTCAGTTTTTGACGTCCAACGTCCATTTCGTGCGAAAGGGTTGCGCGCGACGCTTCAAAGTCGCAATTTTTCCTCAGTTTTTGACGTCCAACGTCCATTTCGTGCAAAAGGGTTGCGCGCGACGCTTCAAAGTCGCAATTTTTCTTCAGTTTTTGACGTCCAACGTCCATTTCGTGCGTAAGGGTTGCGCGGGACACCTCAAAGTCGCAATTTTTCCTCAGTGTTTGACGTCCAACGTCCATTTCGTGCGAAAGGGTTGCGTTTCGTGGCGCTCCGGCGGCACCGCCCCCGCCTTAAGAGAGAATAGAAGAAGAGCGAGAGGAGATCTGCAGATGTGAAGGTCTGAAGATCTAGATCTGCAGGTGTGAGGGTGCGAAGATCTAGATCTGCAGGTGTGAGGGTGTGAAGATCTAGATCTGCAGATGTGAGGGTGTGAAGATCTAGATCTGCAGGTGTGAGGGTGTGAAGATCTAGATCTGCAGGTGTGAGGGTGTGAAGATCTAGATCAGCAGATGTGAAGGAGTGAAGATCTAGATCAGCAGATGTGAAGGAGTGAAGATCTAGATCTGCAGGTGTGAGGGGTGAAGATCTAGATGCTGCAGGTGTGAAGGTTTGACTATGTAGATGCAGAAGAATGTGAAGGTGTGAAGATGCTATATTCTGCAGGTGTCAGGAGTGTGAAGATGAGATCAGCAGATGTGAGGGTGTGACGATGTAGATCTGCAGATGTGAAGGTGTGAAGATGTAGATCTGCAGGTGTGAAGGTGTGAAGATGTAGATCAGCAGATGTGAAGGTGTGAAGATCTAGATCTGCAGATGTGAGGGTGTGAAGATCTAGATCTGCAGGTATGAGGGTGTGAAGATGTAGATCTGCAGATGTGAAGGTGTGAAGATCTAGATCAGCAGATGTGAAGATGTGAAGATGTAGTATAACGGCTGCTTTTTTACGAAGAACCCTTCGCAGGCGCTCTCGGGAACAAAAAAACTGTATCCAACATCTAGCTTTAAACACGTAAACACTTGAACAATCTACCTTAAAACACTTAAACATTAGACAAACATATCATCATTCCAAATTCCAACTCAGAAAACAGCTTGGTTTTCCATCGGTTTCCCATTTTCTATGCGGATGACCCTCTGGTAATTTAACATAGCTATTGAACCTGGCCATTTATAATTGATTTGCCTTAAACAAATGTGATTTTCCATAGCTATGTTAGTTTACCATTAACAATAACTAGAACTTCATCCCCAATAACTTCGCCTCGATCACCACAGGTAGGGCCAGAGGCGCCACCAGGGCAGCCACGTCGTGCGCATAAGCCACGCCTAAGGCGCTGCCCGCCACCGTTTGAAACGACCAACGCGTTGTTTTCTGTATTTAGTAGCCACCAAAAAAGATAAGACCGTATAAGATATCCTACTGAAATAGTGATCTTACTAGCGATTCTTTTAATGGATTATGATCATCTCCACTATATTGCTTAGTAAAATCTCCCTAATAATCAACCAACAAGGCTTTTGAACACTGCTCGCATATTCAATACTCAAACATAATCGATGAATCATATGTGGTAATAACATGTAGGAACCACTACTAAAATCTACTATAGTATCTACTAAAATCTACTATAGTATATGTTTCCATTTATAATCCCAGATATGAAAACATCATCTATTAACTAATCATCATCCATTTATCATCCATTTATCATCCACTAATAAATGGAACTATTACTCAAGCAGACCAGGAGATAGAATATGAAAAATTCTTAGCTCACAGATAGAATATGAACAAAAAACTAAGGTAGCTAAGACCCCAAACAGCAGATAGAATATGCAAACAACATATGCAGATAGAATATGAACATATGATATATGTGCAATGTTGCATGTGTATGCAGTACAGTACTGCACTGCCTGCAGCCAGCACAGTATAGCGACCAAAAAATAATGCAACACATACAAAAACCATGAGATTGAGTCCGGAGCATGATCTTTGCGGCGCGATGAACATGATATCGGTTCTTCTGACATCAGTGGCCATATTCTAAGTGCATGGGCCCATATTCTAAGACCAAGGTTCTCGGCCTAGCTCTGAAAACCCTATTCCCCGAAGAGCGGCTTAGCTCAGCTAAGCAAATCTTAAGGTTTTATATTCTAAGTGCTGGTCCGTCATTGTACTATAGTGCGGATTATGTAATAACCACTAATAATCTACTGTCATATCATAACTATCATCATCCGCTAGTGGATCAATAACCAATATTGTAGATCATTTCCGAACCAGATATGATAGTTATAGCATCAACAGCATCAATATAGTTACTATATAATCCATTTATCATCAATTTTCCACAGTTACTATATGGAACCAATCATGATGGTTGATGATAGTTGAAAAAGTGGATTCGTCATGATTTATCAACAGCATCAATATAGTTACGCTAATAATGATCCAGTTATCAACCGTTATCAACAGCATCAATTTCATTCATGAACTAATCATCATCCATTTATCATCCACTAATAATCCAATAATAATATAGTTAAACCACTCATAATCCAGTGATAACTATAGATCATTGATTATTTATCATCCATTAATCATCTGGTTGGTGGTTTTAACCATCTTGAATGTATTTACATATATTATGGAAAATTATCCCAATATATTATGGAAAATCCATTAATCATCCACTAATAACCCACTAATAATATACTTAAACCGTTAATAGTCCAATGATAAACTATAATAACTATAGATCATTGGTTATTTATCATCCATTAATCATCTGGTTGGTGGTTTTAACCATCTTGAATGTGTATATATATATATTATGGAAAATTATCCCAATATAGTATGGGAAATCCATTAATCATCCACTAATAACCCACTAATAATAGAGTTAAACCGTTAATAGTCCAATAATAACATATAATAACTATAGATCATTGCTTATTTATCATCCATTAATCATCTGGTTGGTGATTTTAACCGTTAATAACCATTAATAATAATCATCTGGTCATCTGATCATATGTAATAACCATTTAAAATCCACTAATAGTGTGGTTATTATCCATATCTAATAGTGTGGATTATCATCCATTAATCATCCATGAATTCTCCATGATGTGACTGCCGGGCCGCTGGATAACGCGGAGACCGCCATCCTCTGCAAGGTCAAATCCTGACGCCTTGGAGCAAAATGACAGGTCGCAAAACATGGGACGTTAACAGTGGTTAACAGTGGTTACTAGTGGTTAATAGTGGTTAACAGTGGTTACTAGTGGTTAATAGTGGTTAATAGTTGTTAATAATCATTCATAACGGTTAATCATGGGACATATTCCGGAGATTCTGAGTTCTTTGTTGAACCAATATTGTAAGATTGACCAAATTATTAACTGGGCAAATTTGACTTAGAAACTAATTAGTTCATATTATCCACCAAATTCTCGATTCTAAGATTCTAAACACAGAAAATGGGGACTACAATGTAGTAAGATATGCCAGCAACTGCAACCAAATAATTGAGGTGTGTGAGAATATATAGAATCGACCAACAATAAGATGACGTGAGATATCACGAGATGGGAAAACCCTTCTATAGACATCGTTCCATTAAGTGTTTGTTTATTTTGTGAAGATCTGTGCCTTTATTGCAATAAAAATCAAACTACAAGACCCAAAACCGCCGCGGAAAACAAGATGCATGGAGATTAAATTTGATTGGCCTCCAGAGGAACTGGGATTTTGCCTCCAAGATTTGCGGGGCTAGTGGACCCACAAGTAAAGCCTCCGGGTACCCGGCCAGAGAGGAACATTGGGTGCAAAGAAATGCAAAAAAAGATCTATATCCATCGTTTTTTAAAGGTGGTTTGAATGATGATGTATACACTTTCGATGGGAATACTTAAAAATTTGGAACTTCCTTCAAAAAAACGCAAGACCATTACTATTAATACACCAACATATCTGTGGTCACTGCACATCATTGTCGGTGCATGAGTAGCCTTCCCTGGCCACTTTCTGACAACCCATGTGGTAAAATCCAATGGTTGATCATCATTATCCGGTTGGTGGTTGACCTACCCCTCTTAAAAATATGAGTTCGTCACTTGGGATGATGAAATTTCCAATATGAAAAAATAAAAGCCATGTTCCAAAGCACCAACCAGCATAATTGGAGGTATACGGTAATACCGGTATACCCCATTTTCAGACACATCCACAGTCAGAAAACCACCGAGACAAGCGACCCCCGCGCCGCGGATTGAGCAATGGCCGAAATGACGCCCAAACAGAGAGGTCTCAAGGACACCACATCCTGCAATCCACAGGGATTGGTTAGGATTACTATGGGATTTTGGGTGATTTACGCACTGGGAATTTCCTATGGGATTTATCTAGATGACCAATCAACTTGATACGTTACGAACTGGGGCAACGGTGAGGAATTCCACACAGAAAAATACGCCCTTCGCTTCACGAGTGGATGAACTCAGGGGTATACAGAATGTTCATACAAACATCATGGAATCGATGCCAATTTACCATTTTCAAACGGTAGAATTTACATAGTACAATTTATTACTCAATGTGTAAATACTTGATTATGTCATTTAATATATATGTAGATATTTGAACCCATTATTCATATGAAATTTCGGAGCGTATCCCCCATTTTTTCCGTGGAACTTTACCCTTTTCGTCCCCTGCCGTCCTTGGAAAGTCGTGTGATGGCCATCAAACAGGCACGTTGTAGACCTGGTCGCTGCTTTCAGCGGAGCGCACCACATTGTGGAATCTCAAAAGTCATGGATCACATTGGGGATAAAGGGTGTATATCATAGATATATACATATCTATCTATCTATATATATATATATATATTATGCATATATATATATATACAAATCATATGATATATACATCTATAATCATATATTTATATATATATAATGCAAATATCTCAATAAACCTTAAAATGATGGGAGTGTCTGAAACTGGATCCCAATTTTCATGAACAGGGACCCTGAGGCCCTGAGGTGTGGATCCCTCAGGCCAAAATGATCCCCCGTCCGTCAATACATGTGGGATACCCGCTGCAATGTTGTTCTTTTAGGGAAAAAATGAAGGGCTAATTAGTGGCAAATTCCAAATCTTAGATACCATGCAAAAATGAATTAGCTGTTAGCTGGTGTCAATAGATATTCCTATATCAAAATTGCAAAAGATGATGATTCAGGATTAAACTGGCCAGAATTTCAACCATTAACCACTATAAACAAAAACACACCAGTACTAACGATCATTAACCCACTATTCTCAACCGTTATCAACCGATGTTATAGTATTGTTAAACCGTTAAAACCATCATTGACCCCACCCTTAGTCATTGTTAATAACTGGGTCAACCATTAATAACCATTATTAACAATTACTAACCAGTTATCAACCATTATTAACCATCATTTAACATTATTAACCAGTTATTAACCATTACTAACCACCATTAACCACCATTAACCATCATGATTAGCCATTGTTAACCATCATTTACAATTATTAACCAGCTATTAACCATTGTTAGCCATTGTTAACCATCATTTACCAGTTATTAACCATTATTAGCCATCCTTAACCATCATTTACTAGTTATTAACCATTATTAGCCATTCTTAACCATCATTTACTAGTTATTACTAGTTATTAACCATTATTAGCCATTCTTAACCATCATTTACCAGTTATTAACCATTATTAGCCATTCTTAACCATGATTTACTAGTTATTACTAGTTATTAACCATTATTAGCCATTCTTAACCATGATTTACTAGTTATTACTAGTTATTAACCATTATTAGCCATTCTTAACCATCATTTACTAGTTATTACTAGTTATTAACCATTATTAGCCATTCTTAACCATCATTTACCAGTTATTAACCATTATTAGCCATTCTTAGCCACTGTTAACCACTGTTAACCATCATTAACCCCACATGTTAACCCCATCCGGAGCGATGAATTCATGGCGCCAGGAGGCGCTCATCGTTGACTTTGGACTGCATCAGTTCCAGGACCTCCACGTTGAGCTAGGTGACAGTCGAGGGGTTAGATGCTGAAGTATTTGAATATATATATATGTCTATATATGTATATATATATATGTATTGTGTGTGTAAAATAACATGATATCACGATATATATATATATATGTCATTCTATAATATAATCATACATGTTATATATATAATTATTTGTATATATCTATATATCTCTACATGCACGTCATGTGCAACATATAATAGACAATATAGAATGTCAACCCTGGATGACACCGGCTGTTCTGCTTGTATCACAATCCCCAACGGGGAGAAGTCGGCCGCAACCACCATTGGAAGTAGCCCAAACAGAAGTCCGATGAACGCGTCAATGACCAGAAATTCTATCAAAGGATGGTGCGAAAATTGCAACCATTAATTCCATCACAATTTTGAGTGGCAGTTTTCCAACTTTAATCTTTCTCACCTCTCAAATGCTTCCAGCATCCCCCAGCATAATACGCAGCTTCCATTTTGCAAACCCTGGTTTCAAGAAAGTAATCACTGGGCCATTAATCGTTGATTAAAAATTAGCAGGATAGTGGATTTTCCCATTAAAAATGGTGATTTTCCATAGTTATGTTAAATTACCAGAGGACCCATTCCCAATAAATCCTCATCAAAGAGGCCATAGCCAAACTGTCAATATCGTTGACAACTCCTGTCAGCCGGGCATCGGTTCAAAAAAGCCAGGCTGGAGGACCGGGGGAATTTCACCTAGCCCACAACGGTTGGATAGAAATGGGCCAGATAGAGTTGGACAGCAAATAATTTTTCATGACAAAACAGATAGAAAGTGAGGCCCCCCAGTTATAAGTTATTATAAGATGGTTTATAAACCCCATGAATACTATAGTTATAGGTACCATAAACCCACCACTTTGTAGAAATATGCCAGAAATTGCAATTGCTTGGCGATTTTCGAGCCAAAAAGTTCATCATTGGGACCTTGGGACAACTTGGGACTTCACCATGGTGTTTCTGAGTGAATTTTCGGGGATGAACTCCTGGGATCTGGTTGCTCCTGCGGCCGACACCGGAACAGCTGTCTTCGAAGGTCTTCTTGGCAGAGGAGGCAATTGATCTTTCCTCGACCAAGCCACATTGCGGTGACCACCCTTTTTTGGAATGTTTGGGGTTCATGGTTATTTTCTGGGTTTCGTGACCAACAAACATCCATTCAACATCCATTCAACATCGAAAATCAGCAGTCCGACAGCAGTTGGGGAGCAAAAAATCCCTTCGATTCGAAGGTAGAAGAACACTTTTTAACGACATAAGGCCATTGTTAACATCAAAAATAACGATAAAATAACGATAACATAACGATAACATACGTATTTCCGGCAACTCAACGAAATTGCTGGCTATGTCCCTATCTTGCACAATTGATCTTTTTTGCCTAGAACCCCCGCGGAGTTTATATATATATATATTGATGTATCCTTTTTCTTGGGCTGTAGATTAAAATTATAGTTATAGGTTTTATTTTACCATTATTCTTATATATAAATATATATGTATAATATTTATTATGATTGTAATTTCAGTTCAGCATGTGGACAATTTCACTGAGTTCTGATCGTCAAAATCCCAGCAGTGTTTTTACAATCCTCGGTTCAGTCATTTTCAATCCCCATGTTCGTTGTTTTTTTCTCCCACTCGTTGCTAAGGTGAAAAAAGAATCCCCACATCCATTAAATCACCAATTAATCACCATTGATGTTAATTGATGTTAGATAATTAGTCTAAGGGATGGTACCCTCTGGTTTTGGAAAATGACCCATGAACATAGATGATTTTCTGGATTTAAATTTTTACCTATCAAAAATAAGGTGATCTTTTTACCGTTCACTCGGCTGTTCGGCTCAGAGAGTACTTGGAGGATCATCCCTTGTAAAAGAGTCCGCGAAGATCCTATGGTTATCCCATTAGTCCAATGGCTCATTTAATCCCAGATCTATGATGATTTACTTATACCTATTAGATCCTATTCGTGAATTAGTAAATCATCATAGATCATATGGGATTAATATAAATTGTTAATCATCCCATATGGGATTAAATATCTTAATACCTATTAGTGACAATATGATACAGAGATTTACCTCTGAACAATGATGACTTATGATGATTTACTTCCCCATTAAACAATTTCGCTGCAACCCTGACGTTAAGCCGCGTCTGACTTCAGGTGGCTATGAAGGAAAAGTTGATGTTATTACTCCAATCAATATATTGTTCATAGGGAGTGGCGAATTTTGATTCCTCATGAAGATAAAATTGACGTTATTACCCCAACCAACATATTGTTCATAGGAGGTGGCAAATTTTGATCTCTCATGGAGATAAAGTTGATGTTATTACCCCAGCCAACATATTGTTCATAGGAGGTGGCACATTTTGATCCCTCATGTAGATAAAGTTGATGTTATTACCCCAATCAACATATTCTTCATAGGGGGTGGGGAATTTTGATCCCTCATGGAGATATAGTTGATGTTATTACCCCAATCAACATATTGTTCAGAGGGGGTGGCAAATTTTGATCCCTCATGACGATAAAGTTGATGTTATTACCCCAGTCAACATGTTGTTCAGAGGAGGTGGCGAATTTTAATGTGATGATGACGATGACGATGATGATGATGATGATCATGATGATCATGACGATCGTAAGTGTGGAGCAACGTCCGGGTTGGAGGGAACAGTTTTAAAGATGTGGTATTTGATTTACCTCTGATAAACTAACAGTTTGCTATTGAAACTGGCCATAGACATAGTTGATTTACCCTTGAAACATATTGAACAATGGTGATTTTCAAAAAAAAATATGTCAGTTGGGATTATTATTCCCCATATATGGAACAAAATAAAAGCCATGTTCCAAACCACCGGTCCCAGATGGTGATTTTCCGTCCCAGCATCCACTCCACCGTCTGCGTGGCCGAGTTCGTCCGCTGCAGCGATCCACCGGTCGAGTCCAGGGAGGTCGTGCGCCCGCGCGGCGCCACGGCCGGAGCCGTTCCGGGCGCCGGCGCAACGGGCGCAGCGCTGCCGTCTTGGAGGCTCTTGCGAAGCAGGTTCTCCTGGCTGGGCCAGGCCGGTTGCTGGTTGATGTTGGTTGATGTTGATTTATAATCCGAAGAATACTATAGATATTAATAGATATGATATAACTAATATATACTAATATTATAACAGGATATAACCACCCCTTAAACCCTAGGGGTGGACCTATGATTACCATGATGTGTTGGTAAACACAATCCCCAGAATACGAAAATGTTGGTAAGGAAATAGATGATCTAACCATCTCCAATGACTCACCATCAAAATATGGATGGTTTACGACATTGCTTCACGCACATTGTAGGTATAAGCCCCGCCTAAACCGCCCTAGTTATTGGACTTATGTTTACCATTGTTTGCCAACTTAGCCAACGAACTGGGGCACCACCCTGCACGATAAACTTAGGAATCGGGTACGAATCCAATCACCAGGGTTACTACCCACTTACGATCTCTGGGATGCTCCAAGTGGGAAAATGCTGAGCGAATGACACAGAAAATCAATGAAACTCAAAGAAAATCATAGAAATCTGCGGAAGTTCACCAAGGATCATGGGGATTGAATCATAACATATCAACTGAACATACTGAACTGTTCAGATGGGAAAATTGCTTGGGAACTGGCTTCTTCATGGATGGCTGGCAACTGACATGGGGATCCCCAAAAAAACAGACGTAGGGATTCCCACGTGGAATTTTTAGGAAGTTCTTGGGGGATGCTTAGCTTGGGATCTCAACATGGGGATTTAACTTTACTTTGGAGGTTTTAATGGGAATAGATGGGAAACATATGGAAACTCTGGTGATTTATGGGAAATATATGATGTATGACAGATACCCTCTGGTAAACTAACAGTGAGCTATTGAAAATGGCCATAGACATAGTGGATTTAGCCAGATTTAGCCATTAAAAATGGGTGGATTTTCCAGTTCGTTATGTAAACGTTTACCAGAGGGTATGCAACTAAAGAAGGATGAGGGGGAGGTGGGGATTGGGATGATGAAGGACAAAACATTATGGAGAGAAAGATGAGAAAAGTGGGAGCCGACTTAATAAGCAACATGTTGTGGGGAACTGAACGGGGCATTCTACCGGGGATAGAGGTATGCAACTGACCACAGGCGTAGCTGGTTTGCGGCTTCAACCGACCTCAAAATATTCGTCAACTCAGATGCTCAAACTCAACAATCATCGAACGTATCACTGTCTTTGAAACCACAATGACAAGGATTACCTTGACAGTAAGATGATTTATCCCTGTCATTCTCCTTCTAATTGACATCATTATCACAAGGAGAACATCATTTTTTCAGCCGACCCGCCTTCTTCGCCGCTTCTACAGCGTACTCCTTTAGCAAAGATCCGGTAAGACCCAAGTAGGGCTTCCCTTCACCTCGGGTCGTCCGTCTTCAGCGGATTTTGGGGATACAATCCCCAGTTCCAAACGAACCCAGTTCATTCATTAATATATACTGGTTGGTGGTTTCAACACCTCTGAAAAATATGAAAGTCAGTTGGCGTTACTATTCCCAATATATGGAAAAAATAATTACTTTACTTCGTGTGATCCCCACCATGACATTTATACATGTTCTTACTGGCACATCTTCTGGCATTCTATCTGACATATCTTCTGACATTCTATTTGGCATTCTATCTGGCACATCTTCTGGCATATCTTCTGGCATTCTATCTGGCAAATCTTCTGGCATTCTATCTGGCATATCTTCTGGCATTCTATCTGACATATCTTCTGACATTCTATTTGGCATTCTATCTGGCATATCTTCTGGCATTCTATCTGCCATATCTTCTGACATTCTATTTGGCATTCTATCTGGCATATCTTCTGGCATTCTATCTGACATATCTTCTGACATTCTATTTGGCATTCTATCTGGCATATCTTCTGGCATTCTATCTGACATATCTTCTGGCATTCTATCTGGCATTCTATCTGACATATCTTCTGGCATATATTCTGACATATCTTCTGGCATATCTATCTGGCATATCTTCTGGCATATCTGGCATTCTACCTGGCAAATCTTCTGGCACTCTATCTGACATTTTATCTTCCTACATGAGGTCCGGCAGGGAACACTTGGCGTGGATACTCGCGGTTGAGGTCCGGCAGGGAACACTGGGCGTGGATGGTCGTGGTTGAGGTCCGGCAGGGAACACTGGGCGTGGATGGTCGTGGTTGAGGTCCGACAGGGAACACTGGGCGTGGATGGTCGTGGTTGAGGTCCGGCAGGGAACACTGGGCGTGGATGGTCGTGGTTGAGGTCCGGCAGGGAACACTGGGCGTGGATGGTCGTGGTTGAGGTCCGACAGCGAACACTGTGGATCGCGAGTCGCAGTTGAGCAGGACGACAAGGATGACAAGGAGGACGAGGAGGACGAGGCAGGAGGAGGCGGCAGGAGGAGGAGGAGAAGGAGGAGGAGGAGAAGGAGGAGGAGGCAACTGACATAAAATCTAACAACCCTCACCTGGCAGGTGGGGAAAAACATGTTCCAAACCACCAACCAGTATATATATATATGCCATAAAAGTCATAAACATCCATAAACCATAGTTAACCTAACCTCTATATATATATAATCTGTTACCTATATTAATATGCAGGGCCGGTGATCCAATGGCTCATATCCATGCGAAGAAAGCTGGGGACATGAAAACCATCCCCCTAGTCCCAGAAAAATCTTCGACCCCAAACGGCCGACCATGGAATCCATGAACTGTTGGCAAATAGCTATCCCTATAATAAGTTGCAGTATAAAACACACATATATATATATTATGTATATATATATGTATATTATGTATATATATAATATTATAATATATAATATTATAATATATTATATTATATATATATATATTAAATATAAATTAAAAATATATTGAATATATATTTTCCCCAACAAAAACTAGTACTGCATTCTACTGTGTTTGCATGATTACACCTTCATGTTGGGCAGAATCCATGTTGTTTGTTTTTCAAGATCTTGACGGGCAAAATGCTCCCCAATTTTTTGTCCATCAAACTCCCCATGTATCATCTACCCAGATTTTATGGCAGCCAAATTTTGCCAATTAAACCGCATGTTGTTCATTCCCCATGGCCAAAAATCGTAATCTGCTTTCCAAATCCACATCGTCCTTGCTTAAATCTTCATTCTTGTTGGCAAAGTCACCACATTTGTAGCCTAGGCCGTTCTTTTTTTCTTCACTACCCATGGTTGTAGTTTTGATCAACTCCTTATTTTTATTGATTGTTCAAGAACATCACTATGTTTGATGATACAAATCACAAATTGTTTGTTAGAAAACTCTGCATTTACCATCCATATTCTCCACTCTCCCAGGGTTCTTGATCCCCAAATGTTCCTTTTTGCTGATGCTAAACCCAAAACAACCCATTTCTGATGGTCAAATCATGTCAAATCCCCAACATTTGCTCAAACTCTACCATCTGGTAAACTAACAGTTTGCTATTGAACATGGCAATAGACATAATTGATTTACCCATGAAAAACCTTGAAAAAATGTGAAATTTCCCATCGCTTTGCAAGTGTGTTGCTTCCAGAGGGTACATCACATCATCCCAGCCACGCAGAGCTTCTTTCACCTCTTCGAGTTCGATTTCTGCCTGCACCAAATCCGTTGCGCGTGCCAGGCGTGCCATGTCCCCCTTCAGGGGCAACCCTGGCGAAACTCAGCAGCTTTGGCTGAGCGCGTTTAGACAATGGCTGTGATGATGCAAAATTTGGTTTTTGTCCACAAAGGGGGAAGGAATTCATGAAGAAATCTTCTGATTGTAAACAACTAGTACAATTATATAGATATTAGTAGTGAATTAGTGATATGACTATAGTAAGCTCAAATGTAACGTTGAAAGGTGAGTTGTAAAGGTGGGAGATCAACCGTTTTCCTCCGTAGATTCTCAAGGAACAGAACCGATTCAAGCGAGGGTATTCATTGTCAGTCCTGTGGCTGGGATATGAAAGAAGGTGTATAGATATATATATATAATTATATATATATATATGTTAGTAGGGCAAGAGTAGACCTTCCCCAAATTTACCGTAGATGTGTGCTATAAACCATCAACATATGGCTGGTTTATGCTGGTTTCTTATTGCTTTACTCACATGATCTATGGCAATCTATTTCAAGGATCCACCATGATCCACCAAAAAACATGGAAACCTGGTAGGTCTTTGAGCCAAACATAGCCTCATCCAACGGCCCAGCTCCATCCAGCCCTGAAATCACTAGACCTTCCCATTCAATCCATCCCCCCATGCCCAAACAAAACGTTGGAAAAGGACCATTACACCATGGTAATCCTTGAGGTCAACCCCCTGCAACTCGACGCGTCAGGCAACTCGGCTAATAGCCTCGTCTTGATGGTTTAACCGGTTAATTAACCATCATTTGCCTTGATTTTTCTACATATTTTTTTCACGTGGCAATGGACAAACCTCTATGTTGATCCATTTATAGATGGATTTTCCCATTGAAAATGGTCAATTCATGTCAATTCCCATTGCCATGGGCTGACCCCCGGGCCTTAGTAAGGCCGATGCCTCCCCGTCCCCCTTTTTGAAGCGCAAAAGAGATGGAGCGGTCCGCGGCCGTCGCGGCAATTGAAAAAGCGACCCGTTGGGATGCAGAGCACCACAGCCCCAGCTGGGGGACTGAGGCAGAGTCAATGGCAACTAGGAAAGGATGGCTGTATTGAAGGCTGTAAGGCACCAATTTTTGAGGCTTCTGAATAGTTCTGAAGCCCATTGATGTCAAATGCAATAACCATGGCGTCAAACAACTAACCAGTATTTTTGCATCATTGCAGACCAGGTTGCAAACCACACCAGCTGGTGGAATTGACTAGCCAACATAGCCCATTCAAATTGACCGGTGCTGTGGCCCTTTTTTGAATCGTTGGGTTCTCCTCAGCTTTGACCATGCCTCAGTAGGTCTTCAAGCTGACATTTGTGTGAGCAAGTCGATCAGCAAATGGGACCAACATGGACCAATCTTAATAGTGATCATAACATGTCAAAGCCTCCTTGGGTGATCTTCACAAGCACCGATCTGAGTCATGAAAAATCAGGACGAATAGGTTTAAACAAACAACATTAATTAGTAGACATAATTCCCAATAAATCAGGTAGTAAACTCCCGAAAACTATCTTGACCCATCAACCCTTGATATCTTTCGGCCATGGATTTCAGTCGGTCGGTTCGATTGGCCGTCCCATCTGCTGTCTGCGGTATCACATCCAGGTCGCTGGATCGGCGGAGTAGATCCTATGCTCCACGAGAGAATACATGTGGCTTCGGTTGTAGGTCCTACAATTCCGTTCATGAGTTCAATGGGATTTTCAGGATCCCAAAATGGAGGTACCTACCATATATAAGGCCTATATAAGACCTATGTAAGTGAATATCACCACAAAATATGGCCTTATATGGTACAGTACCTCCATTTTAGGATCCTGAAATTCCCATTGATGAGTTAACTATCCATATCTATCATATCTATCCATATATCTTGGAGCTGGGCAACATGCCAAACAAAACTCCAGTTCTATCCCCATAATAAGCCCCTGAATGCCAGGTCTTGTGGGGTTTCCTCGGGCGTATACCCGATCCAACTACTTGAGAAAGGACTTAACCCCCCACATGCCGCCCCAATTCTCCGAAGGTACTTGGATCTATAGGGATGATTCATGTTGGAGTAGATAGAATATCTAGAATATGGAAATGTCAAAACATCTCACGAAAACATAGGAATATCTGCAAAAAACATCCATATCCTATCTAGTCATATTCAGGATTATTATCCATTGAATATAGGGATGATATACATTTAATTAATTAATCATGTTCAATGGATTGTAAATTATTACATATCGTGGGGATATGATATATCACCCAAAGAGTCAAGGCTGACGCTTTGTGCTCACCAGCTTGTAGTGAATTTTTCCACAATGAATCCAGAGGGAAAATGAGTCATTGGGAGTTTCTGTCTCTGGATACGAACCTATAACATCTGATAAACTCTGGAATCAGTATATGCATATTAGATAACAGCAAATGACCAAGGTTTTTTTTCCAAACTCACCAAATTTACATAGATATTTTCTATAATTTTCCCCAGTTCCATGAACCCTATCTATGTTTTAGGGGTTCCTATAGGAGTAGCCCCATATCATCCAAAAATTAGAGAATTTAAATATTGAAACCTCGGGTGACGACTGGGGTACCCCCATTTCTGGGATTTGCTTCAATGTTTTCATCGATTTCCAGTAGTATCAGTAGTAGATTTCCCATTGGAAAACTTTGAACAAAGCCAAGATTTTAGGAAACTCAGGAAAGCCCGATATTGATTGTATATGGTAACTGGATGTAACTGGTAATATCATGTAATTTATATCAACCACGAGTCACCTCCACTCCGCATCCCTAAATAATTCAGCGTCCGATGTCCGGATCCTGTACTGCCCCTGCTGGCCAAGAGCGCAAGAAACGACAGCAGAGACATAACTTTCTGACAGCTAGATGGCGATCGGTCAAAACTTATGACTTCCAAATAGCCCCTGGTATGGAAGCCATGGACCATTTACAAAGATTATGGCAACCTACCAGATGGTAACAGATTTTGCCCCCAACATTGACATACATTGACCCATTGCCATTTGGGAGCTAAGTCACCCACGCCTTTCACAGCAAAAAAGCTCGGTGAAAATCGGTGAGCTGACCCACCAGTTGGGTTTGTCTGAAAATATCTGAAAATCAGGCATCCACAAGTCCCAACAGTTTATGACACCTTAGCATCATTTTGCCATACATATTACCAGATGTTCTGGCAAAAAACCCGATACTATAGCCAAGTTGAAGACAAACCCATTCGTAAGAGTTAGAAATCGATTCTGTTGCTGTAATTCAAATGTGCAACGCGCCAACATCCTGAAGCGCGCTGCCGGGCCCAGTGGTACCTATCCAGCAGCAGCTGGAAGAACCCGCTCCAACAGATAAAAGTTGATAAAAGTGCCATTCAGGTCAATAGAACATCCAAGTCTGGTCAATGTTATCATGACAGTTGCAACATCACGGTAAACATCAATGAATTCCATCTAAAAAGTGTGGCGATGTGAATTCATCCTTCGCGCGCTACATATTTACCACCTCAATTCAGCTCGGATGAACATCGCCAAAGCACTGTCACTTCACAGGCAATTTTTCGCCAAAGTGAAAAGATGATAATGTCATCAGTGATTTTCATGAGTTTCATTAAAAGAAGGCATAAGAAGTCTAAGAAAACAACCCAAAAACTCACGAAAACTCAGCCCCTCAAGGCACCCTCAAAAATGGGCAGACTAAATCTGAATAAACCAGCAAAACTATTCCAGTTGTGTCTGGACTAATGTGGTAAACCGGTAAACCCGATAATAAACCTCTAGTTGCAGATGGCTACAATTTCGGATGGTTGATGATTGATGATTGACAACTGTTAATGATGACGACTAGTATTATTATTGTTACCATCTGGTTATTTAACATAGCCATAGAAAATCACCATTTTTTATAGGTAAACCATCTATTATAAATGAGCCATTTTCCATGGCTATGTTAAATAGTCAGAGGGTACCATTATTGGTGTCTTGATGTTTGTTTCATTGTTATCATTCCACTGTCTCACCTAACAATGACAAGCTTGTGGCACCTAATATCTAATAACTAGGTATCAACCATTGTTAGGTGCTACCACCTGATTATTAATATCAGTGTTGTATCACCTATCGCCAGGCCCACGGCGCCTATGGAGGCTCGCTGCTCTTTACGAAACGTGCACGTTTCCCTGAACTTCCTCCTGAAATCCAACGTGGCACTTCAAACCCCCCCGGTTTTTTTTAAGGGGATATCATTTCGGGAAGGGAACATACCCTCTGGTAAACATACAAAAAGCTATTGAAAATGGCCATTTATAGTGAGTTTTCCCATTAAATATTGTGATTTTCCATAGCTATGTTAGTTTACCAGAGGGCAAGTGGGACATTTTCTGAAACATGGGATAAATAACCATATGATGTGGGCTTGTCAAAACATTCTAAGATATCCTAATGACATTGACATGAAACCAATGTGAAAGTGGGCATCAACCATGAGATTTTGCGGTACCCTCTTGAGACAAACCCACATGTAGAATCACGGAGGTTGGGGTTGCTAGAACAGGTCTGCGTCTCCCTCAGGCCAACTCAGGGTTCTTTGCTCTTGAGTTGAGATCAAATAATATCAAATCAGATCATGGCATACATATTACGGTATATTGTATATATATATTGGATAGTTTGTCACATATATACATATATATATATATGCAGTTATGTGGTAAATGAGAATCACCCAAAAGTCTCATGTGCAAAACCCTCTGGCAAACTAACAGTTTGCCGTGGAAAATCACCATCTTCAAAGGTAAATCAATGTATCTTCTATAAATAGGCCAACAGTCAGTAATTTTGTTTACCAAAGGGTAACCTTTATAACTACAGGATGGGGCCCCATAGTTAGCGTCCAGTTGGTTTATAACTATAATAACCATAGTGTATGATACTTACAACATCTTACAACTATATTTGGATGGGGTTATAAACCAACAAACATAACTGGTGGGCCCCATCCTGTATACTGTAATAGTTAAGCAATACTTGATTTTCCCCAAATATCCACCTCCA